ATCGACTAAATTATAAACTCTTATAATTTAATAATTTAGAATGAGCAAACCATAATTATGCTATTTATTAAATTACAACCACAACGGTAAAAACAATAGAAATGAGTGGTTTTTTTTTAAAAAAAATCTAAATTGTATGCCATTTAAATTATAAAAATATTATATATTCTTATAAAATAAGATTCATTAAAAATATTTGGGTACTTTTATAATTTAAATTATATTTTATTATTTTTTTGAACAAATTCACAAGAATCAAATTCGAACCATTATCTTAAAAAAAAAAATACACTTACATGTGACCTGATGTTACTTAACCTAACCGAAGGTCTAAGTGCAAATTATATTTTATTGTTTATACGGTTTGAACTGAGAATATTGAATGAATTCAACGCAAGGACCATTTTTTCCGCATTGAAAATTGGTCGGCACTACACCCCAATACAAGGCAAACACTTCCACAGGCATCCCAATCTGTTCCACAAATAATTCATTACATCTTACTAACAGGATCATATTTACGAACATATCAAGCAATGCCAATCTTAAAACCTTAAAATGTTAGCAGAACTATATGGATTGAAGATTCAAGCAGATAACACTTAAGAATAGAACCACAAACCTGGTAACACAAAGAGGGACGAGGTTTTGCAGTCCAGAGCCACAACTTTGAAAAGGGTGCTCCAATCATCTTCAGATTAAATTGCATTTCAAGAATAGGGTGTTTCACTCGACATTATCTCAAGATGGCACCTAAACAAAAATCATCCTAACATAAAGCAAACCCCAAACTGCTGTGTCTACCACTTTACCTAAGAGAACTACAGAAGTCTATGCAGAACCTGGCCTAAGCTTCAAATCATTTTATAGTTGACAATGTCAATATAAAATAAAGTTGCACTCAGATAAAAAGTCTGGGTGTTATAAATACTATCCATTTAAACTCATCAAAAACCATAAGATCACTATAAAGTTTTTGAATTTGAACCCTTTTTCCTCTGCCCTAAAAATTTTCACTTTTCTGAAAGAAAAGTATAACCCTTATAATTTAACCATTAAAATAAAAATAAATCCTGAAAGCCAAATTTCACCACTGCCGGAATACTGTAACACAATCTTACCAAATCTGTAGAAGATGACCGAGTAAACCTTTTTGCTGAACTTTCAGCCACTATGCTGTCTGCTTTGCTGGAAAAAGACAGGTCGAATTGAAAAAATCTATTAGGAATTTGGCAGATGCTCTGTTATATAGTAATAAAAAAATGCGGAAAATCTTTTCTTAAAAAAAAAAAATTGTAAGAATAATAAGCACTTTCTTTAATCACAAAACAAAAGCATAGTGCATACTAATGCATACCAACATCCTGAATTATATCAGGAAAGTACAAAGAAAAAGCTTCCATTTCAGTGCAAAGCTCAAACCGAATGCAACATTTGTTGCTACAAAGTTCACCTACTAGACAAATGTTTCAAGGTCAATACTGACACTAAACTATATTTCCACCCAGGAATCAATACTTTGGCAAGCTATGGTGTTTCCAACAACTTAAAGCTAGGAGTGTAGTCATCGCCATTCCATCCCATGTGATGATTCATTGGCTTTGGAGTTTTAGCAGGAGGAGAATCAAGCTTATCTTCCTTTAGAGGAGATGGACTTTCAATCAGAAGGTCAGCTACCTCTTCCAAC